CCTCCTGCTCCCAGTCAGTGCAAGTGGTTCAGAGTATTTTAGGAAAGTGTGAAAAAATCAAAGTTTTGGAACACTTTGGATTTTATATGATAAATTATGGTTCCATGTAAAAAAAATCAGTTTGGCCATAGATAAGCCTATTTACCAAAAACATTGGTAAGAATATACCTATAATTACTGGAACACACACATACACACATGGTTTTATGGCTCTGTTTTTTTATTTTCTGTGTGTTAGGATATTATCTATTGAAATCCAAAGAGAACATTTTTAAAAATTTGAAAAACATCAAATTTGGTTAATAGGTTTTACGTTTAAACTGTATTTTGTAATTTTCTTCATCACTACACAAGCTCATGAGTAAATTAAATATGAAAAACACTATTTCTTGATAAACAGTTGATTTGATTTTAAAAATAAAAATATGATAACATTATTGTTTAGTTCCTTCAAACAGTCATTGATCATGACTTACAACAAATACTTAGCCCCGCTTTTTTGGCCAATAATATCACCAAGTTGATGACTCATATTTTTAGTGGAAGTTGTTTATTATTCCAAAAAGATATTACACTTGCATTTAGTTGAAATTTCTTACATTTGATCCATTGTTTCTTGGTTAAATTTTTGGAAATGGAAGGATTAGGAGCGTCATTGGATGACAAAGGTGTTTCTTCATCTAATTGATTCTTTCTTATTTCGGATGTTTCTTTGGTTTCTTCATCTACTTGATTCTTTCTTGCATCTATGTATTTCTCTGGGTCACTGTCATCTTTCCACAGGTAAATTTGATTTGGCTGTTCAGATGGAATGACTTAAACAGGTTTCTGAGTCTGTCTTTTTCAGTCAGTTTTACTAAAAATGAATGTTATAATTAATTTGTTCTTGAACTGAATTCATACACAACAAAAGTATAAGATATAACATCTAGCTATATTCATGAACTGCTGAGTACTTGTACTTCATATTTACACAGTGGTTTTGTATCATGTACTTCACAATTCCACATACCTTCTGCATGCTGTAACTTCAGTCTTTTGATATGCAGTAAGGTTATTGTTTTACTAGGGATCTACCAATATCACTTTTTAGCCAATAACTGATACTGATATTTCAAAAGAAAATTACTAGGAACTCTGTACTCACTATGGCCTGATGGATAATTAATCTCAAAATTCTCTTTTTCAGCTTCAAAATGATAAATACTGGTCCATAGCAATTCATTTTCTTGGAATAACTTTTGGGCTTAGCAACAGACAACAATCATTTCATCTATACTACCTGGGAAATTAAGTTTTACCCACACAATAGTGCCTCTAGTAATGCCTCAAGGAGCAGGATGTTGAGAAATGATAATAGAAAAAACAAATGTTTAATTTGCTCTTCATGTGTTACAATTCTGTTTTGAAAATGGTTTGGCAGCATACAGGGCAATCAGTCGTATAATAACAGTTACAAGGGACTCTGCAGTCCATGTAAATGATTAACCATTCACCAAGAGCCTGATAAGAAAATTGGAGCAACAAATTGATTTTCCAGTTGAACAAGGTTCAGTAATTGAAAATGTTGCTATTTGGTGAAATTCAGTGCACTACATGTTACAACATGATCTGAAACAACAAAAAAAAAAGTCATAAAATGCTAGTGTAAATAATGATGTTTCTTGCCTTTATCCCTTCTTCCCCACCCCATTCCTTAGTAAAGCTTTACTACACTTTAGCGAGGCAGTTACCATTTTTTATCCATTTGAGAAACTAACAATGGAATGAAGTGATGATGATGTTAATGCATCATTAATTACACAGGCCTGCAATGTTTTTATTTTTACATGTTCTACAGTAATTTCTGCACGCTGAATCCAAAAATTATATCCATTTTTCAGATTATCCCACAAAACGTCATATGTACTTTTACATAAGTGAATCATTTTTATTGAAATCGGGTCACATTTTGTTATGCTTAAAATGTTAACAACCATTGGCTATAGATTTCTCTAGACCAATCATGACATAAGAGTCTTATCAATAATTTTAGAACCCATGAGAAACACCATGCTAGTACATAAATGATCAACAAGCCACATGACATGTCATTTCTGGATAGTATTTGTTTGTGCGTGCACTTTTACATTATTTTTTCTTTTCAATATTATTTATTCATTGCTATGGCAACAAGAAGTTGTGTAAGTGACCCAAACATATTCTGTTGTATTTATGGTAAATTTGTTATAAAGAAACAACGGCCAAATATTACAGAATTTGTTAAAAAAAGCGTATTACACGTATTTTGAAATAAAACATGGGGACAGAGACAAATCGTGGGCTTCACACAAAGTTTGCCCCATTTGTGTTGAAGTGTTGAGACAATGGACTAAAGGTAAGAAAAAGTATTTTCCATTTTGAATTCCAATGGTCTGGTGTGAGCCTAGAAACCACAGAGATGACTGCTATTTTTTGCTCATGTAACGTGCAAGGCTACAACACTTAAAGTAAAAGGGAAATTTCTTATCCAAACTTTCAGTCTGCTATAAGACCTGTTGTTCATAGACCTGATGTACCTGTACCTACTCCACTGGAGACTCTTGATACAGTTTCTTCTGATTCTGAATCTGATGTCAACAGAAATGATGATAGGGATTGTTTTCAACCTGAAACATCTGGTGAATCTCACAACTTTTCACATAAGGTGAACTTAATGAGTTGGTGAGAGATTTGGGCTTTCCAACAAAAACCCAAATGGCGAAAATAGTGTCCATAACATGCTCAATAAATTCAAAGAGTTTGTATGTAATATGAGCTTGAAAGTTCATTTCTTACACTCACATATTGACTATTTCCCTGAAAAACTTGGTGCCATCAGCAATAAGCAAGGGGAAAGGTTTCATCAAGACATCGGAGAAGTGGAAAGGAAGTATCGGGGAAGGTGGAACATCAGCATGATGGCTGATTACTGCTGTTCATTGAAACGAGATGCTCATGATGCAGTATGTAAAAGAAGACCACAACATGTAGTTTTGAGACTCAAAGATGTCGATTTCACAAAAAATATCAGATTGAATGAGGACACATGTTCATTGGACATCAATGTTCTTCCCTTTTCTTCTAGTTTGTTTATTATTTTTGTTAAAAAACTATAATAATAAAATATGTTCATTGTGGTAAATGAAATAATAATTTGATTTAGGTAAGAGTTTATTTTTCTTCCTGATTTGTAAAAATTAATATTATTTTCAAAATCTGCGTAGCTGAATTGTAGATAATCTATTATTAAAATCAAAATAACTTTTATGAAGTTTAAATTTGCAGGACTGTTATTCCATTCATTGTTTGCTACTGAAATGTCTTGAAAAGGAATGAACTGTTCTATATTGAAAACAATGACAAATACAGAATGAGTTTCAGTTAGTCTGCTTGAATCCTATATCAAGTTGAAGTATCTTGCAAAGAATATTCACTTTCAAGCAAAACTGTGACTTGAGGAAGAAATAACATAAGGAATAACTGAACCCTCTGTGGAGAAGCCAGACTGACATGACCCAGGAATTCTCACTGAAGAAGATTAGTTTCACTCTGACATTGCAGTAGTGAAATATTCCTGTATCAATAATGTACTCACAACTTAATGCTAGGACTAGTAATTTGCATCATTTTAACTTCACAGTCCAAAGTCTCTGTGCCTGACAAAAGGAGCTGAGCTCTGGGAAAGTGATCATAAAGAGCTAAGCCTATCTAAAAGTCCAAGATAATCAATGCCTAACTTCCCTTTTTTTCAGAATTCAGGAGGTCAGTAATTATCTTAGTCTTGCAAGAATGAAGAAGGATAAATATCCCTTGGCATGGTGAAATGCCAAGAAATGGTGAAAATTGCCTGTAAATAGCTGTACCTACCAGTAAGTGATCATATCTTTAGTCAAGGAGATGTCACTGAAGTAAGTAGGAACAGACTCACCACTGAGCAGCTCCTGTTCTTCCATGATAGCCTCCAACTGCTTCACCTTAACTGTTAAAATTAAATTGTTTCAACTTTGGCAAAATAAAAGTTAACTTCATTTTCTTGAAAAACATTCTGCATTGCGCATTCAATAAATTTTTTCTCCTTGCACTAATCTAAGTTCTGTTGTTTCAACAACAAAAAAAATTTTTGCATAAAAAAAAAGTTTTGTTTTTCACACATCCACTGAACTCAAGTCATTAGGATGAGTCTTTGGCTCAGCATACTGATGTTTATTGGCAAAATGACCTATATCAGTACATCCCTTTATTTTAATGATTAGAGGAAATTGACTACTTCATTTTTGGTCTGGAATTTTCCTTTGATTCATTCGACTAAACAAGGTGTTTAATGACACTTCTTCCCTATTCAGGTGTTTTTATAGACTAAGTTGCAAAGACCTTCATCAAAATGAATGATCTGTTTAATTGACATACCATAAAAACGTCTTTCTATTCATGTTAATATGCATATGAATGAAGTTTTTAATGAATGCCCATCTAGACACCAAGAAACTAAGAAGAGAGAACAGATATTCTAAATGAAAAATCAGTTGCCTTTGTTTATATTTGTTTTTAAAAAGTGTTAAGTTTTGGATCAATATTTTTGAAGCATTTTAGATTGTAACAGTTCTTTGATTCATTGAGGCCAGAGTTAGAATATCCTGAAGTTTTAGTTAATTTTCTTTTAATGTAGTTACTGTATAGTCAGCTGGTTAAAATAATTTGTATTAAATATTTTATTGTATAAATCTTTATTTTATTGCTTATCTATAAATTTTAAAATGCTTTGAACTTTAATTGTTTTAAAAGTAAGTATGAAATATAGTGTACACAATTACAAAATTATATTTACAATAAAATAAATATTAAGTTTAACACCTTAAGCTCACCCTAGAACTGTGCACATTTTTAATGCTTAATTAAACTGAGTCTTGTTTAGTTTATAACTTATAAGATACTTTAATTTATGTACTTTTTACATTCACATGTATTTCTTCATGTTGCAGTTGATATACTACCTCAGGTGTCATCCCACTAGAAGTATTGAAATCTGGAGATCAAAGGAAAAAAGATGTCCACCTCAACAAAACCCTCACTCTCTGGAAGAGCAGGAAAATCTTAATCCTTCTGATCAAAAACTAGAAGTTTCAGAATACTGTGAGAAAAAAAATGACACTAAGGAAGAGTTTGTTCCACAAAAGGAAAACTTGAATGTGCCCTTGAAAGAAAATGATGTTGTCATCCAGGAACTACCTTCTCAAAATAATCTTCTGCAGACTGAGATAAGACCTATCTTAGAACAAGACACTCACAAAACAACTCAAGTCTAATGTAATCTGAAAAAAAGAATTAACATTAATCATGGTTTAATTCAAAAGTTTTCAGAAAGGTAGTCATAGTTTTCAACTTTTATTTGTCAAAGCTTTCAGTATATATTCCAAAACATACATACCTCCGCTGACACTTATAGCTATTTCTCGATCTTCATCTTTGCCATCTGAACATCGTGTTCACTTTCTCCAGTCTTTATACCCCACTTGACTGCTCTCGTTAATATCTAATTTACAAAACTTTACACTGGCCCTCTATGCAGGTACTGTGTATAAGCGCTGTATGTCGACAATATAATCATTTTTTCACGACAAAGCACTAGAAGTTGTGTTTTGCGGTCCACATTTTCTTTTGAAGCATTTTGACAGTAGTCTGGTGTGTTTTTTGTTTTTTTCCTGTTGCTGATATTTCAGTGTTTTTCTTTTGCGGTTTAACAACAAAAAAAGAAATTCTGTTGTAATGGTTTCTGGCACGGAGGTTAACCAGACCTCATCCATTCCTCCTTTGTTGTCTGGTGGTAGTTGAGGGTGGGGTATAAAGACTGGAGCAAGTGAATATGATGTTTAGATGGCAAAGATGAAGATCGAGAAATAGCTATAAGTGTCAGCAAAGTTAAGTATGTTTGGAAATACATTTTCAGATTAGGAAAATGATAAATTTAATCATGTACTAAATTTTACAAAAAACAGAATTAACTGATTGCTACAAAAAACAATCAGTTGGAAGAAATTTCTATCATATCAGGATGTAATATTAGTATCAGAAATGAAACATGCCTTATTATTTATACATGCAAAAGGTTTTTCAGTAACATGTTTAAATTATTCATCATGCATTTGTTTCTGTGACTAGTCGTAGTAGTGCTATATGTTGCATAATATCTAACATCTATAATGTATTTGTAAAAACCTGTAACAATGCTTGAATTTGTTTTTAAGTGGTAGGCTTTGTTATCAGTAACTGAAGAATAAGTAATTTTAGAGGTTAAACAAATATTTGTTCCGTTTCCTTACATTAAACAGTATTAAAAACTTGTGTGTGTACCAAAAGTATGCTTTTAGTTTCCACTTTTGTGGCAAACAAAATCCTCTACTCTAACTAGTATTATGAGCATAATTATGCAAGCCAGTTGTTTTAAGTGCTGTTACTTGGCATTATTACATATCTGTTGCTAGCTTTTCTTCATACTTTGATACAGGCATGTTTATATGTTGTGTACTAAATATATTGTAACTAGGTGTTTTGTGTTAGTTCATTTTTTGGCTTTTTAAATATTGGTTTGATAATACATTCTATATATATTTGGTGTCCATTGTTCACCTAGTTATTATTATTGTTCTTTGAATGAATCAATAAAAAACTTGTAACTGTATTGTAAATGTTAAGGTGCTTTTCAGTGTTGCAAATAAGCATTGTTCTCAAGATTTTTTCAATATGTAATGTGTAAACTCTTTGTTTAGAAATACTTTTTGGTTGAATGCCAATTTAACTAAAATACACACTTTGTGATAAATCTTTTTCATCTTGAGTATAAATAAGATTATGAGACTAAGTATTTTTTTAAAAATTACTGTTATTATGAAATTTTAAATGCTATTATGATAAGTTTCATTATGAACTAGGAGCTTTTGCACTCCGAACACTCATGATTGCACGTCAAATTTGTAATTAATGTTTCTAACTGCTACTATTTTTGATTATTCCAAGTCCCATGTGAGAGTAATTGAATACAATCAATTAACGAGTTTCTGGACAGTGTCTTTTGTCAACCATTTCAGTGGTTAACCTTACACAATGAAATTTACTGATCTATCTTTTAATATTAAAAATGTGGTTGACAAAATGAAGTTATATACCTTTGCTGACTACCATAATTTTTTCTAAAGTTTCTTTTGACATGCACAGTTTCAAGAGATCATGGATTGACATGGAAGTTGGCACCTTAAGCATTCACACTAAAAATAATAAAGATGGCAAAAAATTTCAATAATATTAATTAAATAAATTTCTTGATTATAAGATCTTCTGATAAGAAACTTGGTCACGATAATGTACATGAAAGTAGAACAGTAGGAAAATACTTGTATATTGATATCACTGATTCTAAAGCTGAAGTTGATAAAGTGGCGAGTGTTTTCATGTAGCCAAGCATGATCCAATGTTTAGCATGCCAGACTGTAGAGCTGAGGCTCTGTAATTTGGATCCCATTACTGCAAAAATAAAATCAATCCTTATTGAGTCTATTCATGCATAAATGATAGTCAAATCCCATTATTCATTGTGACAAAAGTTAGCAGTGAATGGTATTGACTATCTGCTTTCCCTCTCGTCTGTTACATCAAAATTAACGATGGTTCATTGAGATAGCCCAAATGTAACTTTGCACAAGATCCAACAAAAAACAACCAAATCATTTGTTGTGATGGGAAAAGTTAAAATGGTTTACACTCTATTCCGCTTTTATGTGCTCCCTATCTTATTATTATATCTTTCATCAATCTCAAAGTATGTATGTATTTATTTTAATCTATAAGAAATACACAATTTAGCTGGGACTTTTTAGCCTCCCTTCTGGCTCATTCAAAGAAACTCCAATATTAGTCACATACTTAGAAAATTATTATCCTCTTGTCTTCATTATTAAAAATATTAAAAGGTTTCTTGATAAACTTTTAATCAAACAAAACTTGTAATTCTTTCCATCAAAAAAAAACAACAACACCATAACCTTAGTCCTGCCATACATGAAGGTATCATTTGTTAAAGGTGACCAACTTCTAAGAAAAAAAAGTTCCAAAAATTACTCTTAAGCTGCTTTCAGAAGTACTTTTATACTTAGTCTTCCAAACCAGTATTAAATAGGTTGTTAATTATGTACAAGTATACCTGTCCTATATGTTCAGAATATTTCATTGGCTTTAGTACCTGATGTTTGTGTCAAAAGATTAGTTATAATGGATCGTGTTTTCTACATAACAGGTCATGAGTTATAACACATAAGTGATTCAGATATTACTGTTAGAAAGTAACATTTTTTCTTCTGATGAAAGAATATTGGATATCAAAGCAATGTGCCCAATTATGTAATATCACATAAAATATTACTGCAAGGTGTAAGAAAGAACAAATATTGCTGACATTTTTCAGTGTCTTGGTAGTTGGCACTTCTGGCTAATACTTTATTTTTGGTTAATAAGTTTTATTTTGATTAGTTATGTATTGCATTCTTAGATTTTAAAAGTTTGCATTGAAATTTATTTTCCACCATACCTAATTTAAAGCTGTTACAGACAGAATTTGTACAAATACTTGTATTGAAACGGTTAACTGCGACATTAACTTGAACCATTTTTATAGAAGTGTTCTATTTGAACATGTGAAATAGTCTGCTATTTAGAAATAAGATTTTCTAAGACTTTGGGTGTAGAATGCTAAAGCTAGCAGAGCCTGATGTGAAGAAGTAATATGTGTGTGTATGTGGTATTGCAGAAACTAACACTTTACTAACAGAGCTAATGATGATGATATGGGATTTATATTCTATTTTTCTTTTACTGGCTTAATACGAGTTTCCAGAAAGAGTAGCATATAAAACATAGTCTTAGTTCTAATGAACTCTGGCATTGAAGAAATAGCCCAAATGGCATACAGTAAATTAAGAATTAGTTGAAATGCTGTGATACACTCTTCTTATGATATTCATTATGACATTAAACTTAAACTACATCATACTGATGGTTTGTTTTTGACAAATAAAATTTCCAGATGAAATGTAATTGGAACATGAGGTTTGTGTTGCTAAATCTTTGTGTCATTGCATTACAGAATTATGAAAAGAATAATTTCCTTATGATTAACATGAAGATTTTTAAATTTAAGATGTTTTATTTCACTGAAGGTGTTCTAGAAGTAATGCTGGAACAACATAAAAATGTGTTCAAAATTTCAATTCTAAGTAAGGAGTTAATGGGCTACATTTCACTCAATTTACAAGATAATTGTTTGTCATATTTTCCAGATGAAATGTAATTGGAACATGAGGTTTGTGTTGCTAAATCTTTGTGTCAATGCATTACAGAATTATGAAAAGAATAATTTCCTTATGATTAACATGAAGATTTTTAAATTTAAGATGTTTTATTTCACTGAAGGTGTTCTAGAAGTAATGCTGGAACAACATAAAAATGTGTTCAAAATTTCAATTCTAAGTAAGAAGTTAATGGGCTACATTTCACTCAATTTACAAGATAATTATTTGTCGTATAAGGTAAAGAAGAGCATTTATTTTTTATTCAATCATACTTTATTGATGAATGACGAGTTTTTAAAAGTCAACATACCTGTAGGCTTCAAAGTAATTCTCGGGAAACATTATCAGTGTTTTCAAAACAAGTAATGTTATTAGAACGATGTTTATATAGTATTTTCTGTACAAATATTTAGTTTATGTATTTTTGAAAAGTTAACTTTTTTTACCTATGAGCATTCGATTAAATGTATGTTTCTTGGTTTTTTAGTTGATAAGTTTATTATCATGATTCTTACAACAAAGCCTGTATTTGTATTGTATATATATATTTCTAGAATTTTATGAATAGTACATTTTTTGCCCATATTTCTGCTACCTAAATTATTTCATGCAGGAATCTTGTTATAAATATCAACTTGTACATTATAGTTTGTGTTCTGATATTTTCCGTATGGCCACTCTGTGCCTTATGACTATATATTTTCAAGCTACAGGTATGATCAAAACTATGTAGAGGATCTAAATGCTGTAATTCCTGATAAATAAATAATTCCTGAAACCTGTTGGATCACGAATCAGTTTCATTACAGTATTAATGAATGATGTTGGCTAAAGTCATACAGCTTTTTATTTAGTCTTAATTCTTGATTAAGGTGTTGTAGAATGGTTTCCAAGACAGGAATTTTGGAGCCTAGCAACAAATCAAAAACTGCTTCTTTTTTGTGTTGTTACAATAGAGATATAACCCTAAATATTTCTATAGGGAACCATATATGTGATACTTTGGATTACTGCAGTCCGAGCTACAGAAAGTGGAAAATTACTAAACTATCGCTCCTGTTAATAACAAACAGGTATCCTGCAGGTTGTTTTGGCCGCACGACACACTACCGCGTGGCTTGATCTAGCCAGCCTACAATAAAAACAGCTTGGTACATTGCACCCAAACCTTTTGTAGAATATTAGATAAGGTACTGTGAAGGGCGTTGGGGTATTTTAAAGTCGATTTGTTTCTTCTGCATTTCACATAAGCTAAAAAACATCATAATTCTAGTATAAACGATGTTATCATTACCCCTTGCAGTTAGCTTTATAAATAACTGGTGTACCTTTAAAAACTTAAGTACTGGGTGAAACAGGAATTTCCAGCCAATAGATGAACATTAGATGAGTGTAACACGTAAATACTTGACGCTTTGTGCACTATACGATCATTGTCTTTAGGGAGTCAACCCCTATATTATGTATGAGGTGAAGGAGTAAAAACACATAATATTAAATTTTATTACACACATTTGTAGAATAATTACTTTAAAAGACACGAAGGTTTATTTAAAGCGATGTTTTAGATGTACACAGCGTGGTCACAAGTAAATAGACACCACCTTTTCAGAAAAAATGAAATTTTTAAGTCATATTCACAATAATTGATATATTTATAATTTAACTAATATCTAGTAGATCTTCCTTTCGCTTCATGGAGTTCATTGATTCTTTTGGGCATCGGTAGAATCATCTCGTCCATTTTAGATTGT